TATTATCCTAATTATATTTTAGAATTTTTTATATTTAAAATGAGATATTTATCTTGTATTTGATTATGTTTATCTGCAGTTAGTTACACGAATTCAAACATAGAGCTTTAATAAGTTGTAATTATGCATAATTTATTTGTAATCTTGAATTTTAAGTAATGTGCATCGATATACAGTACTTCATGCTTAAAAATGATTTTTAAGAGTTTCTATCAAATGCTTTATAATATAGTATAGATTGTTTGAGATTTCATGTCCCACTCTGGGGTTTTTGAAAATACATTACATTTTGATGCAGTTTTGGCGAAAAAGATGTGTGGACATAGGGTTAGAGTAGTCAACAACTAGCGACGTAAGAAAACAGATTAAGTTTGATCAACAGTACTCAACGATAACGATTTAAAGCAGAAGGTAAACATCAAGAAGAATAATTGGTAAATGGGAAAATGAAAGATAAGAACCCCTGAAGATTAGAAGAAGAAGAGAGGGCCCCTTCAGTCTGTCGACGATCAACCACTAGTTGGAGATTAGAATTTAGTATTATCTGATGATATTTTGAGTTTTTATAGATGATTTATATAATGTTTAAGTTATAAAAATATATTGATCGTTATATCTTTTTAATAATTAAATAGGATATTAAAGAATGTCACGTTAAACAGAGTTATAAATCCCTTCGATGTTTGGTTTGATAAAATGGTTTTGAAGGATTTGGATTTTGTGGAAAAATTAAAGTCGGAAGGATATGGATTTAAAAGGATTTGGAATGGTTGGTGTGTTTGATTTGTAGGATTTACATTGCATTTCATTCTTTATAAATACCAAATTACAATAAAAAAACGGTTTTATTAACCGATTATCTATACTTAAACATTATATAAATCATCTACAAAAACTCAAAATATCATCAGATAATACTAAATTCTAATCTTCAACTAGTGGTTGATCGTCGACAGACTGAAGGGGCCCTCTCTTCTTCTTCTTCTAATCTTCAGGGGTTCTTATCTTTCATTTTCCCATTTACCAATTATTCTTCTTGATGTTTACCTTCTGCTTTAAATCGTTATCGTTGAGTACTGTTGATCAAACTTAATCTGTTTCTTACGTCGCTAGTTGTTGACTACTCTAACCCTATGTCCACTCATCTTTTTCGCCAAAACTGCATCAAAATGTAATGTATTTTCAAAAACCCCAGAGTGGGACATGAAATCTCAAACAATCTATACTATATTATAAAGCATTTGATAGAAACTCTTAAGAATCATTTTTGTGCATGAAGTATTGTATATTGATGCACATTACTTAAAATTCAAGATTACAAATAAATTATGCATAATTACAACTTATTAAAGCTCTATGTTTGAATTCGTGTAACTAATTGCGTATAAACATAATCAAATAGAAGATAAAAATCTCATTTATAAAAATTCTAAAAAATATAATTAGGATAATTATCGAGTTATAACAAAATAATTAATTATTATCGTTATAAGAAAATTATATTATGAAATCAAATATAAGTTGCTTCTGTATTGAACCTAAATTAAATTATAATAAAAAAATTGAATTAAAAAATTACAAAAAAATAAGAAATTTTAAATAATTAAATTTGATATTAATATCGATATTTTTTATCAAATTTTTAATCTTAAATTCTATATTTTATTCAAAAATAAAAATATCATCGCTTTTTAAAATCACATAAGACCATATTATAAATCTACTGAGATAAAAAATAAAATAAAATATTAAAATCAAGATATATCTCGTTACATTACGCGAATATTTTTTTTAATAAGACTTAATATTCAAATATTTTATTTATTCTCTTATTATGTATAGACATATACGAGTTTAAATATTATTTTTTATTTATTTTATAATTTGTCAACATTATTTTTGTAATAATTTCAATTAAAATACTAAATTATATTATAATTAACTTCAAGGTGGATGTTGCTATGTCGGCTAAGGTTTTTTAAAATGCATTTATTATAGTGAAGGTCGATGTTCATATGTCCCACGTAGGTCTTTTTTCCATACCCACCAAACTAAATATAAAATATTACATTTTAAACCATTAAATTTAAAAAAATAGTCCTTTACCCTTTAAGCATCATCTGGGTAAAAAAAAAAACCTGACATTAATGATAAAGACTGAAATGTGTAAAAGTCAAAGTTGATGATGTATGATGTGACCTAAGTATGCATCTTGGCCAAACCAAGACCACTCTTACGTATCGACCGGTGCATGATGCGTAAGGACCCTACCCATTTTTTTTTCATTTTTCATTTTCAATATAAAAAAAAACACTATTTATTTTTCTCCTTTCCAATAGACCACTATTTCAATTGTATCTTTTCCTGCTCAACCCCATTATATAAACAATTCAAATTTCGTATTACCAATACAAAACCAACACTTAAAAAAAAAAGCACTATATATATCCGAGGTTTTTACAATTTATCGATATATACTTACCAATTTAGTGTTTACAAAAAAAAATTATCTTCTGCAAATTCTCAAGGATTAATGTCTGTGATTGAGAAAGTTAGAGTACGTGTTTTTTGTGGAGGTTCGTGGCAGTTAGTCAACGACGTGGTAGATTATATTCCAGAAACGCAAAAAGGTGTTGTATTGTTGCCGATA